AAATTTTGTTCGAACTGACCTTCCCTATGATGAATACCATGCTCGCACACGCTTCCTTATCTCTGTAGCGATTACTCTTGAACTGAATGAGCATCTTATTTCTTCAGTCGATTAATTTATCTTACCGAATATATCTTCATACAAGAATAAATCAATTAGGGGAACAAAATGACTGAATTATAATTTTCATAATTAGAATATTCATACATTTCGATGGCTATTAGCCATCTTGACCATTGCAAGCCCTTCTTGTTCATAATTTCGTATCTATGCACTACTTTATTACGCGTTTTATATTGTAATAAAATACATATATACAGAGTGATTAATTCCACCATACTCTCGTATGGGTTATAGAACAGATTAATTCCAACATTTTTGTCATACAAAAGGGTAGGCAAATTTGAACGGTTATAAAAATATTTAATTTTTATTGTTAATTTTAAAATGACGCCCATGGTAACTATAAAACTAAAAAAAAAACAAAAAAGAAACGCACTTGACCATGAAAATCTGTCATAGGCCATAAACCGTATAGGTACATATATAAATTGAACACAATAGCCAATCAAGTGAAATGTTTTTTGTTTTACTTCAGCAGTGGTCAGTTAATGGTTCACACTGTTGTGATTCCGTAAAATAAGTACAAAGTTTTATTATATTCCTTGAAATCGTTTATAAACAGTTAAGTATCACAAAATATTTCTGACAAGCTAATGAAGAAATATGTGTTGTGTACGGTCACCATCAACAAAATAACAGGAATAATATAGCACTACTTTCATATCTTTGAACTGATTTAACTCGGTTTGGACTGTGTTTTTGATATAAGACCCCATATATTTTTTTGTTTGTAATGTTATTCTGCATCAGTTTTTCCACATCCGATCAACTGCCGCGAAAAAATGAAGAGGCACCACGCTCCATACAATGGTCATTGTCATTTACTATGAGTTTGTCGGTCCGCTATACGTGATTTGCAAACATAGAATAGTTTTTACCACTAAAACTTCACGAGACGGGCATTGTATGAGTAAAATCGATGTGGATTTTTTTTTTAATAAATTCATTTCACTATAATATAATACTTATAATCTAGTTACTGAATCGATTCTGGCACTTGTTACATTTGATGACATTTGTTACAATTGTAGAATATATCTTGGTAAAGGCTAATTCAAAAGTGCAATTTCTGCCAGACCTTTTTCTTGTATCAGTATGAATATGTGGGCACCATGTTAGACTGTAGGATATATTTTTTTCCTTTTTGTTGTTTTTTTTTTATAAGTTTTGTAATTTGTATTAAGCGTCAAGCGTGTCTGTACTTTGTTCTCACATATATATACATTATACAATATTGGATAATGTATCAGAGAGATTGTAAAACATTTTTTTATTAAGAGTGAATTTCTTGCTTCTTTTTCTCCTAATCGAATCTACATTTTGGAACGAGCATCTAGCTTCACTGACAGATATATTTTTTTGTATTCGTTGACATTTCAAAAGTACCAAATTATGGTGTAATTGAATTAAACGTTTTGACTTCAAAGCAATATAAAATAAATAATATTGCATATTATATGGTTCTTACACTTTATATACCGATGCCTATATACTTACTATTAGTTATTATATTAATTTCTGTACAATAAATTAAGTATCTACAATTTGAATAAGTATAATTGTAAAAATATTATTCTAAGCATATGTTGAGACTGATTACATACTTACTGTTTGTAAATAAAACACGCTGTATATCTAAATTTAGTTAATTTTATGATTAGTTCTTAGCCATATTCAGTGTTAATTTTTTATTCTGTTAGTCTGAAGTACTCGTTAGTCTAAAGCATTATTTTGTGTTATTCTTAATTCTGTGTTATTATTTTAATTAATATACTTAACTGTATTTATGTCCTATGTTATAAATAAACGATTTATTATTTATTTATTTATGTACGATAGTGACTTTCTTTTTTTTCAAGGGGGGAAAATCATTCGAATGACTGCTCCCGCCCGGGTGAGTCGGGAGGGAGTGTCAGACTCTTACTAACTAAAAACCACCCCGTTCCTTCTCCTGCACGTCGAGCCGGAGCCCCGGTTACCCGTTAGGTACTCCGCGACAAGACATTGTGACTAATTAACTATCCTAACTACCTAACCTATAGCGCAGGCGATAATAGTCATTGCGGTGGCAGTGGACTTTTGACCGTTGACGTACATGAGTATTGATTGTTTATTCTTTTATTTTATTTTAATTTTTTAATTTGGGGCAGGCAAAACCGAATTAGTTTACCCGCTCTGAGTGAGACGTGACCGCGTGAGGGTTGATGAGTGATATTTATTTTTATATTTACTTACGAAGGCGTCTTCGAAGTTTAGTGCCTACAGCTTCTAAGAAAAGAAGAGCTTGGGATCCTGACCAAATGAAAAAAGCTATTGTAGCAGTAAGGACCAAGATCATGGGCTATAAGAGAGCGGCAAAAACATTGTCTGTACCAATTTCTACATTAAAACGATTAGCAAAAGACTCTCAACAATCTTTAGACTTACTTGTGCGTAAGCCTCTCGGTAGAAAATCGATAAAAAAAGTAGATTGATTTTATCTTGTTTATGGAGTAACACTAGGTACATAGTATAAAACAAAGTCGCTATCCGCCGTCTGTCTGTCCCTATCCCTATGTATGCTTAGATCTTTAAAACTACGCAACGGATTTTAATGCGGTTTTTTTAATAGATAAGAGTGATTCTTAAGGAAGGGTTATATGTATACTAAATACTTATTGCACCCGTGCGAAGCCGGGGCGGGTCGCTAGTTGAAAATAATAGCAAGAGTATATCAGTTTTATACGAGGCGCGAAGGATGTATTATCATTACTTACATCAATAGCAACTCTATATGCACTCAATAGATTTAAATGAAGTAAGCAACATTTTTGTATATCCACATCATTATCTCAACTTTTTAATATTAGACCCAGCATTTCTATTCTCTTTGGGATTTTATAATAAATAGATTTTAATATTATCTGCTGCATTTTTATTGCTTCCATATATCGTCGTGTATTGTAAATTAATAAGGAAATTATTTATTACATATGTTTTTTTATTATTTACGGAATACTTCGAATATAAGGTGGGGCCACATTATCACATTCATATTATAGCTTGGCATCAATTTTTTTGTTAATTAGTTTTTTTTTTCGCAGGCCTCGTCTACGAAAGATGTCGTTACGTCCATAAAACAGAATCTCAAGGTGAAAATAAAAAGATTCAAAACTAGTTCTGGCGACAGTTTTTACTACGTATGCGACGTAAGTTAAATATTTTTATATATACAAAGAAAAATGGCGAATTGAAATGCTTAGACGGTCTAAGCACTCACAAACATTGAACAATTACTTGAAAATTACAAATGTATTTAACCGATTACTATTTTTCAGATGTGTCAAAAGAAGTTTAACGCATGGAAGAAATATTATTTGCATCAGAAGACTCATAACAGAAATATAGTGTGTCCTGTGTGCGAGAAGAAATTTGCTACAAAGGGTGATGTTGAGAAACATGTTCGTACTCACACTGGCGAGCGACCTTATGCCTGTGATGTATGCGCCAAAAAGTTCACACAGCGAGGCTCGCTAAAGTCACACAAAACCTCAGTACATCGAATAGACTATAACACACTCACACCTGAAAAACAAGAATTATATTAACTTTAAATTTAATATCTCTCTCATATATAGTATTTTACTCAGTTCCTTAAAGGATAACATGACATTAGTCTTATAAACGCTGTAAAATGGGGTGAATAGGGCTCGAGAGGTGAAAGAGGGGTGAATAGATATAAGTATATTTTTCATAGTATCGATTCACCCCTCTTCTGTACCTTTTCGCCGCTCAAATCCTATTCACCCCATTTTACCATAGTTACCTACTACTATATTCATAGAGGCGGTAATGTTAATAGGTAATGTTTCCGCGTAGGAAATACTTACCTAAAAGTTTGTGGAAACTTGATCAATTACCATCTTTTAAAAGCCACAATAAAAAGGCGGCGACTTTTAGCACTCGGACGATCTCAATCATGATTTTCTCAGAGCTGAGTAAGCATTGTTACTTAAAGTTTCCCGTAAGCTAAAAAATATATGTCATGTTGTAAAAAAGGACAAGCTTTCTGTTTGTCCATCAAGTAATCAAAAAGTTTTATAAATTGTAAAATGAGCGTCTAGTCTTCGATAACGTAATTATATTTAGGTTTTAACTCGATTCAAATTGATGTTCTAATAATATTAAAAGAAAACAAATAATTTCACCCCATTTTATATTATACACATATAAAAACGGAATCATTCCATTTGAAACAAGTGAATTACTACTACCATGGTTTTACCGTATTTATCTGCAACATTGTAAGTGTGCTATCTATCAGCATGTATCTTATATGTACGCATATGAAGCATTTATAAGCATGAAACTCTTAGAATAGATTTTTTAACTGAATACTATAGGTAATAAAAATTGCAAATAGGTTTAATGATATTTTAAGCGAGACACACCAGTGACATGATTACGCACAATTTATTCTAAGTACATATTTATACAATACAACGTAAAATCATAGGTAATTTTTTTAAACGCACACGTCGCTTTGTTATCGCGGGTAAATAAAGAATTGACTGAAATATATATAAACCCGATACCTAAGTATATTTTACTTTAATTACAATGGGTGTAAAATGGCGCTGTTGTCGTTTATTGCTAACCATAAGAATATTTGTATACTTAAAATAGTTCTCTGAAAATCCGCGTAATGGCGGGAATTTTTTTATTATTTATATGACACAGGCTGTCTAAGGTTAGTGGCTATTTACAGTAATGACTGAATACCTGATACTAGTACTTTGGCGATGTATTTCAAAGATGGAAATCTCAAATGTTAATTTTATTTATTAAGTTAAAATCGAAATAAAACGATGTTATATTTTTAAAATAGTTTTTTTATTTGATACATTGTTACATATAGGATAAATATTTACATATGGTCTATATTACAGTATTTTATAATAACAGTAGGCCTACAAAAATAATAGACGTGTTGAATATAACTATGTGTTTTAAATAGTAATAAAAGCAACAACATTTCAGTCCTAATTTCGTGATAGTTTTAACATTCTTATTCCACATTAATAAAGGGCATAATATCACGGGTTTTACCGACCAGGTAAAATAGAAATGAATCGCCGGAATGTATGTGTATGCATAACTCCAGACCGACTGCACCAAATTGGATAATTTTGTACAGAGGGTCAGTAACCAACTTAAAACGGAAGAGGTTTTATAACTCTGCTCTGTATTATACTATATTAGTTTTACTATTTCTTTTATTTACTATGAATTGTTTTATAATTAATTAAAAAGTGGACATTTCTTCGTAAAGATAATAAATACATTGTTGCGAATATTTCACAATAAAGGGTAGTGCAAAAGAGGTTAATAGAAAAAAATGTGTAAAGGTATGTTATAGGTCCGCGCTGTATATCTTGTTATTATACTATTTGTACAGTTTTAGTAAAATATATTATATTCAGGTTTACCTAACTAACTATAAGAAGCCATTTATGAGCTTGAAGGACGCTCACTAAGTAACTACTTTAATAAAACTTTACAAACAATAATAAATAACTTAATAGCCATGAAGGATTTCAATTTAAATCAAGTTTGTTACACAGTAACCAATATTTTTCTATTTTCAATAACAAACTCAAGTATTCCAGTAAAGTAATGAAAACTATCAGTTTAGTATTTGCCAGATGGCGCTACGAGCGATAATGGTCTTGTTACCATGTAGTTGTTGCTTACAACAGTACAAACTAGCCTTCATTGTCTACATTTTTATCTGTGGTCACATCGACATTTTTTTCTGTTAGTAATAGTGTGTGTAGAATTGCACAAGTTTAAAAAGATTTAATTATGTGCTCCTAAAATCGATTACAGAGGTCGCTATGATAGTTATTATAAATGGAAAAAATAATATAAATTAATTATTGTAGGATTTTATACTAAAACATTCCCAACATACGAATACTATTTTCGCTCTCAGTTCCAAAACTTTCTAACGCGCCTTTACTTAAATAGCATGTCATAAACATTAATCCAGTCAATTTTAAACTTTATAATTTCGTGGTAAAATCTAAAATAATTTACAGGTAGAACGGAATAAGTTTGTTAACACACAGCATTTAGCAATTATTTTAAGAACATTACATACTTTGATGATACTAATATTTATGTCATGTTATGTGGTAAGAACGCCTAATATCAACCCAGTCAGAACTTAGTGGAATGCATATAGCAACAACAAGAATGTGCAGACCGCAACAACGAGACCTATGATGAGTGAGTCGCGACGTTTGCGAGCATTGATCCTGTAGATTAAACTGTTCAGCATTGGAAATCTGAAATTATAATTACAAATTTATAATAATAGGTTTAAAGGTGGAATAAAAAAGAAACATCTTGATCCAAAAAAAAAGGAAAGTTATACACGATTTTATTTTCCTGAAACAAAAATACACTACTAAAACTTTTATTTAATTCATTAGTTAATATAATTAATGGTGGCCAAACGTTAACCTATCAAATATAACAAAAAATAAAAAAAGTTAATGTACCTACAGATGTGAAATTAAGAAATATTAAAAAGCAATGCACTCAAGAAATATATATTTATATTTAGGAGCCATTCAAATAATATTATGTAAGCAGATTTTTTCAATTATTTACCCCCCACCCCCCTTGTCAGCAAAAGTAAGCAAAGATCTTACCCTCTCCCCCTTTGCTTACGTAAACATTTTAAATTATATCTTTTTTATATTCTCCAAATACCATAATGTCTCGCTCTTTGTCCGTCTTTGCTTTTAATTTATAATTTCAATATGAGGGTTGCCATTCGTGTAAAAAAGTAAATAACTACCGATGACGTAATCATCATCTAGACTCCCCTACCCCCCACATCATCCGAAATAAGCAAAACAGGGACCCCCCCACCCCCCCATGGTGCATGGCCCCTTAGTGAAGACAAGTATAATATCTTATTATCGTTATATCTTACCTGTTAGTGATATTATTGAATGTGGTCTGCATTCGTTTGAATGTCTGTCGTTGTGAGGCGAGGTGCTCACGCGCCTCCATCGCGATGTTGATTTGTTCGTCCACTAGTATGTGCGAACTGGAAATTATTATTCATTATTGAGTACATGTTTATTTATTAAATATTTGGCAGACATAATGTAATGTGTACATCGACTGAATTCAATTATATCCCACTATACATTTTGTAATCGTTACTATAGCAGTCAGTGCAGATTGGCGCAATGGCTGGGCAACCGGCTGCCACATAATGCATAGCGGTTAGACTACCGGAGTAACTCTTTGTGTAATCAATAAATTGTTGTACCGGGTCCATGTGTCATAGTATATGTGAAGTGTATACGGACCTGTGTAGATGGTTGGCCTCCTTGGAGTACTGGTCACGACGCGAGAGTCCGATGGTAGCGGCGGGCGGGGGACTAGCGCCGCGCAGCAACTCCTCACGTTCACGCCGCGCGTTCACTCGCGCTGATGTCTTCGAGAACTCCTGCTGGTAATCCTGTAAATATACATTATTTACATAATATGGTATCAACTTCTACCATTAGGCTACTTACCCTTAATACATGAAACTAGTAACTGCATAAAAATTAATATAAAGCCAAGGATACACTAGGGGACAAATGTCTTGAGACACGTGTCGCCAGCGACGTTGGGTGATGTCGCGGCGTTGTAGGGCTTTGGTCGACATGTCTGGCAACACCGACATTGCTGTGGATATTAAGTCGCGCGTTGTCGCCATATGTGTATGTCAAGCGGAATCGGTAAGTTTCGTTTGATATGTCGCCGATAGATGTCGTGGAAAGCTATTCCATAGTGTATGCTTCGCTTTATATAAAATATAATGCAATGAGTTTACCATGAGAGTACTATAAATTGTTGTTTATTATAATAAAAATAATGTTTGAGTGAAACAAATGTTATCACATACCCACAACCACATTACAACCACAGAATTTCTTGTGACCAGTTAGACTATTATAAAGTTTGAAACTATAACTAATAATAAAATTATTATTATCCAGAGACCAAGGGATTTCTGGTAGATGGCGGATAAACAAAGGTTTTCTTAAGAAAATGTCAGATCATTATTGTTACAATTTTTTTTATGGCATATGTTACAATATTGTTACAATGAAGTCTGTAAAAATTTTAATGATGGTTCTGCCTATCCCTATGCGGTTGGTTGCAGTTTTAGAACAGACCAACTAGGTCTAACTTAATATAACTCACCATTAATATTTCTCTATGTCTCTTTATAGTGTGCATTGTAGCTGTTCCACTTGGAGCCAAATCTGCCATTTTGTCGTTTATAGAGGACAACTGGAACATAAAAACAAATACAGAATTCTGTATGTATATTCTGCAATGTACTGTTAAAAGTCTAGTATTTATATTGATATACATTCTCAGTGGACCATTGTGGTCTGGATATTTGACTAGGAGAAAGTGGGATCACATTCCATGGGAATTATAATATCATAACTGTAGAAAAGTGGGTGTTGTGTACAGAATAGATTATGGCACAAGTTCTGACATAAATGTCAGATATTGGTGTATGTACTGTTCACTCTTATATGGATGGTAAGATGCACTAATTATTGAGTCTAAAAAAATTTTCACTTGTGTCTGCACAGAGACATTCAATATGTACATTTGAGTGTATAGGGTGATTTGATTTGTAATTGGAGTTAAAGACAGATCATTTCTAACATTTTTGTCAAACAAAGGGATAGGCGGAAATGAAATTCAAAATTACGCCCACAGTGACTCTAAAACTGAAATAACAAAAAAGTTTGACCAAATTTTTTTTTAATTATCCTATTTTATTACATTGATTACTACTTTTAAACTGTCAAACACCGAGCGGTCACCGGTGACCGCAACCTATTGTTCTTTAATTGTGTCCATAATGTTACTCGGTACTCAACGAGTTAAACATCAAATACACAATAATAATATTATTTTAGACACAGTGATCCCAAATTCATCGAATATTGAAATTTTTTACAAGTTTGAGATATATGTTTCTCTATCATAAACACTTGTTGCGCTCTTTTTATAAATAACATCTATATGCTTTCTTATGAGGTATTTACCACAAATCTAATAATTTGTGAAATTTATTTCCAAGATATGAGTTGATTTAGTGTAAATTATTCTGGTAGAGCTTTATAAGTTATTCATAATCATAACAATAATTATGTATACCTTATTTAACAGTTGTTGGAGCTCCATAGACATTGTGTCAAACATGTCATCACTGTTTATGAGAGGCACACTCTCCGAGCTCAGCCCTGAACTACTGGAGCTCACGCCGAGTTTGCTAAATGCCACCAGCTTTACATCTATATCATTTTCAAGCAGCCGGGCCTGCTTCCGCAACTCTGTAATGAATTAATGTGAATATTGTTCCTTAATAGCCAAGCTGAGAATTCCACATATGGAAATTAACTGTATTAGTCAATAAGGGAAGGAATAAACATAATTAAATTATCGGGAACCTATCATACCGTTTATGAACAAAACAAATACCTATATTTATGTCATTATTCCACATATTTAATGTTCTTTCTGTGGTAATTTACAAGTTCTTAAGAAGACATATTCCTGTGAAAACATATATGTTTTAAAAGAGCGTATGCAATACCAATAAATTTACTGTTTGAATCAGATTTTACGTGTTGATAAGTTTATAAATGCAACGTCACAATATTCTGAACAAGTGAACCGGCACAATACAACTGTTTATTCACTCACCTTCCCATGAAGATCCCGACATAGTGGTCATTGTACATAAATGTTTGAAATCAGTAAATAAATCTTAAATTCTTCTATATTTTGCTAGCTTATTTATTTTCATACGAATCTACTTTTTGACTCATTTGAAACAAATTAAATTGACATTAGTTTGACATTCCCATCCACTGACATTGTTTTGCTATTTGACAATTTTGACATTTGACAGCGACATTTCTAGCTGCATAAGTATTTACTTACATCTTTCTCTAATTTCTCAAGTGCGATAGAGATGTCTACAGTTATGCTCAAACAAAAGATATGCTAAAGATATATCTATTGAAATAAATCAGCGGTCTGTTAATATTACTGTATTGCTATGCTAAAAAACACAATATGTACCACAGCCAGCACAGGTTTAAAACATTTGTACCTATTTAACTGTATTGAAAACATGGTTATTTTTCAGACTTGAGTAAAAGTAGTATAATTTTAGCACAGGAAATAAATGTTTAGCTGCAGGCAGGAACACAAATGTCTCTTTCCAGCATCAGCAAAGTTGGCTAAGAGAGAAAGAGATAGATGTTGAGTGTCGTTTAAGGTCACCTACTAATATTCTACATGCAGTAGTAAATGATTAATTGGCTAACATTTATTACGCAATCAAAGAAAGTTTTAAAATTGAATTGGCGTTCAAAATTAATAGGTTATTATTTAGAATCAACTAATCAGTTAAAAGTAAAATGGGTGTTAGATTTAACTTCGGTGAAGTGTCCTTTTCACCTAGTTGAGTAAACAATTCAATAAAGTTTAACACTAACAAATATGAGCCTTAACTCGTAGTGCATAGGATTCATATTGGTTTCAAACAGTAACTCAACGCAAACTTTATGGAACATATTCAACCATTATCTATCTCTTTCCCACTTGTATTGATTTCCATGGCTCGCACAGCTTACTCGCTCGCTCTAATTTCGTCACCCCACCCATCGTCATACAGCAGTCTTTCTTTCCTATTTGGTTTTGTAAGCGCTTAGTAGCGATTTAGCGAATTCTGTTGTTACTGTTAAAAACTGAGAATGTTTATATTGCTGTACCGTTCTTTTATTTTTTGTTATAAATATGGACTGAATTTCTAAAGTGGTGTTATTTGTAAACTATTTGTGTAGTGAAATTCATTATCGTATAACAAGGACAAAAACATCTTCGTAGTGCAGCTCAAAATGGCTGCTCCCAATAAACCATTGAAATTCGACAAAATATGTCGTGCTTGTTTGGAGATAAAAAAGGACATGAGACCCCTGTTTGAGCAACTCACGGCTACAATGTTGATGGGTATAACGAAAGTGCAGGTGAGATGACAAATTGTTAAGATATTTTGGGAATCTATTTTTGTCTCTCTCACACTCACGTGAATCGCAATATGCATGTATTGATAGCAATCGTCCTTTACATCGCGTCATCTTTGTTTAGAAGTCATCAGATATGAACAATTTGGGATTCCTGAGGAGCTGAATTCTCGAAATTTTGTTGAGAGATGTCATTCGTTCTCTTTCTAACGCATGCGATAGGACGCATGATGACTGAAATGGATGCTTTTGGAATACCTATATTGAAAGACGGAGATAGGCATGCAATTGCGGAATTATTGTAACGTTGTCCTTTATCATTTAATATTCTCTTAGTTTAGCGATAACAGTTTAAATAAATGCGGGAAGAGGTTATCGATTTGTTTATGTTTTTGAGGTTTTGATATCAGACTCCAGAAATTACGAAACCCCGGTAAATTAAAATTTTTGACCTCGCTCTAGGTATACCCAACTGCTAAAAGAACCAGTTTTTAACCGCAAGGTTCCGTCTATATTTTTCTATGCAGTATTTTTTTATTAGTTATAAAATAAATGAATAGGTAATATTTATTTTTGATATGTACGATTACTTTTTTAGCATACTACTTGAACATTATATTTAACTTAAAAAAATATTGACACGATGCACGCGGTACGTATGTGTCCTTATGGTACGGGACAATTTAGTAGGGAAGGGGTAGCGGCCGCGGGATAAGAAAGGGACAGTCGGGTGAATGAACAGTAACACCCACTTTTCGCTAGTTGGTAGCTCGTCATTAATTCCATGTATTTAATTGGCTAATGACAAATACTGGACACAGCACTCTCCCTTCAGTAGGTACTTACTACCTAGTCAAATTCAATAAAGGGTAGTATTTTGATTCTACATGACGCATTTTCTTTTCCGAAAGTAAACAAAAGTGTAGCGAAATATAAGAAAGAATATAACTTTGCAATATGCTATTATTGAGAATATACGAAAAGCCACAATCCCTAAAGATAATAAAATACCTAATAAATTTTGGCGGCCTCGGAATTTCACCCGAAACTTATTATTTTTCGTCTCTCGCATTTGGATACTCGACAGACGAGACAGTTTTGTTTAGCTACTGAAATAAAACTTAAAATCATTAGACGATCCTGTCATTTGGTATTGATCATGAGACATTTTTTTTTTGGTTGAACAATTATATATTATGCCATAACTGAAAACACTCACTCAGAAGTACTCAGAACACTGTTTATTTTATTAAAAAATCTTTATCCTCTTCACTTCGACCTACCTACTGAAGTTCTAAATCTTCACACGAACCGGATCGATTTCGAAGCGGTTTTCTTAAGTTTTGGATTATTTGCAGGTGGCAGTTGGAGATGGTCTACCTGCACAGCTGTGTCTGCAGTGTGTGCACCAGATATCACGGTGCCACGCTTATAAGGACCTCGTGGAGAGAAATGACATCGTTCTGCGGGAACACGCCGCACGTATGGCGGAAGAAGCTTTCAAAAGAGAGAGGGAAGAGGTACCTATAGCCTTTATATTGATGCGATACAATTTTATTTGTATTTCTCTGATATAAGAAACATGTGAAACCTTTATGCCCGGGCCACACCAACGAGAAATGCAACTGCTTATCGCGATAATGCACGTTCACCGTAGGTGTAGCCACGAGTCAACGCGATAATTTGACAACGGCATTCACATTGCCGTGTGGCATGATGGGCATTCACGTTGAAATTTCAAGTGTAGCCTGTGGGTGGGTGTGAGTACTTTATTGCAATAATTATCGTAGTAAACATCGCGATAATCGGCATTGACGTTGACGTTAGTGTGGCCCCGGCATTAATGGGAAAATCTTAGACCAAACTTTCGGTAACCATTACAATATCACTGATAAAATTAATTCTCCCGACAGAAAGAGAAGTTGTTGACGTTGAACTGCCAGGAGAACTATATGCAATACATGGAGGTGCCGCTGTCGAACCCCAACCAGATCCTGGAAGGATTCTTTGGCGCAACACCAGAACAAACGCCGACAAATGCCTCCGAGCAGGAGACGAAAATCGAATTCGAAGTGGAAAAGGTAAGAGATAAAAGATACTTAATAACTCGAAAAGATTAGCTGTAGCAAACTGATTTTATTAATCCCCAATGAAAGAATAATGGAGAATATCTACATGTCTACGACTAACTATTTACGAACCGTTATCTATTTTATATCTTCTAAATTCCATAATTTTTCCATTTACAGATAGAACCAAATCAGCCTGAGAGTGAGAATCAGATAAAAGACAAAGAAGGTTTAAACTCTGATGAAGAGAATTACCTTCAGATGGTTTTGTTTCAAGCGACAGCCACGATGCCGCCGGGACGCCATGTATGTAACCTATGCCACAAAGAGTTCAAGCATGCGCGGTGGCTCAAGCAACACATGCGCTCGCACACAAACTGGATCAAAGCTAACTGCAAGAAGCCACACTTGTGCCCGATCTGTGATAGGATTTTTAAGGTGAGTAATGTTAAAAACCTAATGCTATCTCGTGGTGGCCCGGAGGTTTAAGACGCCCTTGACGCAAGAGGATACGGATTCGAAACCTACCAACGGCAAGTACCGATGGGACTTTTTCCGAGTTATATGTCTAGTGTCTAGATAGTGTCTAGATAGACACCACTGACAAACGGTGAAGGAAACATCGTGAGGAAACGTGGGCTTATAATTTCTAATTATAAGTTCGTAATCGCCAAGTTGCATTGAGCAAGCGTGGTGATTAATGCTCAAACCATGTGAGAAGAGGTTTTGCTCAGCAGTGGGTACTTATAGGCTGTTGATGATGATGGTGAATGTTAAAAAAAGGTGTAGGGCATTACAGGATTTGTTACGATAGTCTTTAAAATAGATAAAAATACTGAATGAAACTATTATCTTCCCACACAGGGTCCAGGTATGTTGAAAATGCACATGCGCACGCACGAACAGCGTCCCGCGAAGCAACCGACTTGTTCCGTCTGTCAGCGGATCTTCCCGAGCAAGACGTTGCTGTACCGCCACAGACAGACTCACTTCGAACAGAAGACTCACTTGTGTTCCGTGTGTGACAAGCGCTTCTACAGCGGGTACGCGCTGCGCTCGCACATGGCGCGCCATCGGGGCGAGCGGCCCTACATCTGTACTACTTGCAACAAGAGCTTCTACAACCCTACTGACTTAAAGGTAAGTGGTACCTATCATATTACCATTTGACGGAAAACTTAGGGAGATTTTTACATATGTGTGTATGTTTTGTGAGTAGCTCTCTCCGTGAATGTGGTATAGAGATTGACAATGAGACCCATATATCCCCAAGTGGTCACCGGTGACCGCTCTCCACTAACTGCATTATAGACCTTATTTCTCCAATGTTTAGAGACTACTTTTGTATGGACAAATTTAGGGGATGATTATCAACAATTTTCATAAAACAACAATTAAAATTCCAAAAGATAAGAACGATTGTCAAAGCTTACAAGCTATATTTAGTATCCAGCGATTTGAAACAATTACCGAACCAATGTAAAAGTTCAAAACTCAGTTGTCTCGTCCAATGTGCCACACGGTAACTTTTCAAACTTCTTTTCTTCCTCATCCTTCACTTTGAACGCGTCCTCGAACGCCTTTTTACTGCGTTTCGATAAATATTCCGGGAAATCGATCCGGAACCTCATAATTAGATTACCCTTTGCTTTTTTCGGGCAAGACGGAAGGGGTAAGCCTTCGTCTTCTATCACTTTCTCGTAAGTGGGTGTTACGACGTCTTCTATTTTGATTCTCAACGTTCGGCCATCTAGAGTGGTTAAATGTACCATGAACCCGCACAGCGCCTCTTCTAACGTGATGTTCTGCATGTAGAGCAGGTCGCTGAGGCCCGACCTGATGAAGGTGTCGTGTGGCCGGTCTTCCGTAATGAATATAACGTCGGCTGGTATCCGCGTCGGACCTTGATCCCCCTCTTCCTTGAACCTCACCTCTGTGTTCGGGTAGATGCCAGCTTTGATCGGTATGGACAGAACTTTCTCTCGCAGTTTCAGTTCTGTACAAGTTTCGTCTGTAAACACCAGTCTCTGGATCTTCATTTTCTTCAGACCTCCTTTGTATACCTCTTCTAAAGTGAGTGCGAGTGGTCGCACTATTGTCGTATCTTTTTCTTTGTATCCTTTGCCGAGGGGGGACTCGAACATCGGTGGGAGGTTTTCGTAGTAATCTAATAAGTCTGCGTAAGGATTTGCGGTGCCGAAGAAGTCGTTGTAGGTCCTCATGGGGTCTCCGTGGTAGTTGTAGGGCTGTGAGAACTCTGTGGGTCCGGGCACGCCGCGCTTGAGTCCCTCCTCGCCGTACTGGTCGTACACTGCACGGTGCTTGTGGTCTACGAGGATCTCATAAGCTTCGGCGATGAGGGCGAAGATTCGTTTAATGTTGTCGTCGTTGTCATGTCGCTCCGGGTTGTATTTGAGTGCGAGGCGACGGTACGCGCGCTTCACCTCCAGCTGGCTACAGTTTCGCTTCACTCCTAATATTCCATAAAAGTCGAAACCCATCGCGAACTATGCTACGTCCTTCTAAAACTACTTTACCACTCGTTGATTTCTGGTCAAATGTGTATACAATCCACTGCAATTTCAATGTACTATCACAATAAATAACGTGTTAGCTGCTCAGCGCACTAGATATTCAATAGAATATTAATAAATAAAAATTTAAATGCAGTTTCTAATTTCGTAAAAAACCTTTAAAAGTCTCGTGTCAAACTGATTTATTTTTAAGTCACTTTTGACATTCGTGATGGCGGGGGTTTTGTTTTATTTTAAAGCTTTTATGGTTCGCTGGCATAAACTAAATAGATGGAATAAGATATTATTATAATCTTATGGGATAATGTTTTACTTTTTTTGTGTTTAAGGTTCATTTTCGTCTGCACACGGGCGAGAAGCCCCTGAAGTGCAACGAGTGCAACAAGACGTTCCGTCGTCACTCGACGCTGTGCCAACACATGAAGAAGCACCGCGGCATACGGAACCATGTGTGCAATGTATGCAACAAGAGCTTCTATGAAGTATCCAAGCTCAACGCACATATGAGGATCCATACTGGTGAGTTAACCAAGGCATTAACAATCTATATAAATAAAAATGAATTTCTGTTCGTTAGTCTCGCTAAAACTCGAGAACGGCTGAACTGATTTGGCTAATTTTGGTCTTGATAGGTTTGTGGAAGTCTAGGTAAGGTTTAAAAGGTGAGAAAAAACTTTTAGGCGGTACGAAGTTTGCCGGGTCAGCTAGTAGTTTATAGATATAAATGAGGCAAAAACAACGGATTTTGTCAGAAAACGTGTTAACTTTCCTGCGAGAGCCATTCTTTGGTACCAATGAGGCATGGGCTGGTTTAACCCGAGCCATACTAGGGTCTCATAGAAAACCGGTGTGAAACAACGCTTGCGTTGTATTTCTGGTGGTTACCGGAGATCCAAATCCTCCCCTTTCCATCTTTAATCCCAAATCTCTAACCCCATAAAGGTTGTCTCACTCTCACATATACTTGCAACACCTCTGATGTTCATAATTTTGACACCGATTGCTTACCGTCAAGAAATCCTTTACCTTGTTTACTGAAATCCCAAAAAATAACAATAATCACTTTTTAATTAAAAAAAATAAATTATATAAATAATAAAGAGAGAGTTTTTATCCAATCTTTCATACAAGTCATCAATTAAATGACTAATGATTATGCTGCCTTTGTGCAGTCAATAAACTTACATACAGCTCTTATAATGGCTTGTATAATTTTAATGTACGTTTACTGTGTATGTAGGAGAGAGGCCATACGAGTGTCAGTTCTGCGACCGTCGTTTCGCGCAGAAGTCTGCACTGATCTACCACAGCCGGACCCACACGGGGGAGAAGCCTTACTGCTGCAAGGTCTGCTCCGCCAGGTTCACCACCTCGTCCGCCAGGAACAACCACATGCTCACACATACTGGGAACAAGAAGTACGTGCCTATTTTTTTATTCACTAACATTTTGTCTGGCGTAGGTTGAGATTGGCTTTATATTCTGTACTCTGAATGCTATTTTAACAGCTACGATAGGGGTTGTGTAGTTTTGACATTGAATAATTATTGAGATTTTATTGAATTCAAATTGAATTGACATTGAAATTGATTTCAAGAGTAAGCACCCTGATTTCCTCACGATATTTTTCTTCACGGTATGTAAAAAATGATGGATTAGTAAAATGACGATTGGCGTGTTAGGTTCGTGTGTCCGATCTGCCTGAAGGGCTGTACGTCCCGGTCCGAGCTCCGCGTCCACACGAGCAAGCACACCGGCGAGAAACTGTTCGCCTGCGACCACTGCGGACAGAGGTTCAGCTCCGCCTCCTACCTCGCCGTGCATCGGCGGTACCATACCGGGGAGAAGAAGTACCACTGTCCTGTCTGCGGGAAAGGTATGTACACATCTTGTAAGATTAGTACTGAAATCTATTTATGTGTAATTGTTTCTCACAAAACCTTTTATCCCCAAAGGGGTAGGCAGAGATGCACATTACGGCTCTTAATGCCACTACCATATAACACCCACATTTCACTATTTTTCGTTATAAGTCTCATGTGATATGTATAGGAGTTGAACCTATTGCCATGCCATGGGATTTTTTTTAAAACCCATAAATACTTTGCCTAACCCGGGCATCGAACTCGAGACCCCTTGCCCGGCAGTCGCACTTGCGACACAAAGAAAATTAATATGCGTTTGTTAAACTTTAAAATTTATAAAAAGTCACAAATATCTACGACGATAACGACTACTGATTTCTTCCCCCAGGTTACGTGGAGTCTAGTTCATACAAGAAGCACGTGAAGTCCCACGGCGCGGCGGACAGTAAGCCAGACGGCAACGGCACCGACCTCGCGGAACGTACTGACGCACTGCCCGCGCCGGGGACTGACATACAGTCTGCCGCCGCTGACGATTCTAATGATGGACAGAACCAAGGTATCCTCTATAAACATTTCGATATTAAAATAGGAACATTTGGAGGCCTAGTCCTGCCCATCTCACTATTCCCAAATCCCTCAAAAGGCCGGTAACGCATTTGTAACTTCTCTGATGTTGTGAGAGTCAATGAGGCCGATTCCTTACTATCAGGTGATCTGTCTACTCGCCTGTTGATCTATTTCATATGTAAAAAATGCAATAGGAACATATGGTCTGTACGAGGTCAATTTTTATTTTATCTTTCATTACAAGTTCATTACAAATATTACATTTTGATAATTAATGTCTTTATTTTAATATTGAGTCATTAAACTGAGAGATTTCTTGTCTAGGACGTACCACCAGTCCATTTTATTCCACTTTGATCCACTTATTTGATGATGACAGTCTACGCGAATTGAAAAACATCATACAATACAAGTCATTATAATTAAAATATTTCCAGGTCAAGTGCAAATCCAGGTGCAGGAGTCTCAGCAAGTAGTCCAGGTGCAGCAGTCTGCAGAGCGTCCGTTACAGAAGGTGTATCGGTTCAAGTGTGGGTTCTGTCCCAAGACGTACATGTATCTACACAATCTGAAGAAACATACCGCGGTGCACTCGGACGTACGTACCATTCATTGTTTATTTCTTTGATAAATTAAACGTTTCGTTATTTCAGTTTAAGTTAAGAGTTGTAAAAGAATTTAATTAAATATTTTTAAGATCTATTTTATCAATAAATTATGTATTATATTTTCGGCTTATTCACGTAATAATTTGACGAGGAACTCGACTAGTTTCAAGCCATGCTAGAGGCTTATATTCATGAGCACTGAGCAGTATTTCGCGACGGGCGCCGCGGCGAATGTCGCTGCTACAGGCTGGTGGAGTGAGCACCGCGTGCCCTGCCGCGGGCCCCGCGCGCCCTGCTGCGGGCCCCGCGCGCCCTGCCGCGGGCCCCGCGCACTCTCTGTGGCTGGCACGCTACACTCGCCCGCCGGGAGCTGCGTTGGTGTTGGGTTCGAATCCCGGGTCGACGCAAAAACTGTTACATACGGCACTCACTGTGTCACACTCCAGACCCGCAACACTGTAGTCTGACGCAAATTTCAAACTCGGCTTGGCTTCCAGGGAGGTGATAATGCCCAGCCACAGTCTCTGTTAAAGTTCAGACGACAGCTTCATTATTTCTATCTATTTTATCAATAGATGTTTTTAAGAAATCAGACCTGAGAAGTACAATCTGAACGATGTTTTGTGAGACTAACGCCTAAATACTGAAAGGAACCTCAAATTTAATTTATTTTTAAAAATATCGTGCCTTCTCTGTTATTTTACAAAGAATTTGTAGTGACAGAAATATACTCAAGCGCGACTTAGAATTGAGAGAGCATTAAAATGAAGATTCTACAAACTGATTAGCTCTGTGAACTGATAAACGAATGGACAATAAGTAAAATCTTAGAGCAATATTATTAACTAAAAATCACGGGTTACTCACGTGAATATACTAAGAAAAGCTCGCGGTCGCGGCGATGTCACGCAGCCTACTTACTCGTCGCCGCGACCGCGCACGCTGCTCATGAGGAAGAACCCCTCTGTGGTTCGAAACTTGTACAGCTATCCTCAATATATATACGTGAGCAAACCGCGATTTTTAGTTTTCTAAATATTACCTACCTACTATAAATATGCTTGTAATATAAAATCTAAACTGCAATTACAGGAAATGAGTCGCAACGCAGAACAAATACTTATAATGCAGCAACCGCAGCAACAACAGCAACAACAACAGCAACAACAACAGCAACAGCAACAACAGCAGCAACAACAAGTGCAAGTACAACAACAACAGATGCAACACCAGGTGCAACAACACCAAGTGCAACAACAGGTGCAGCAACAAGTGCAACAACAAGTCCAGCAACAAGTACAGCAACAGGTGCAACAACAGGTGAGATTTAGACAAATCACGCTAAACTTCTTTTTTCCGTTCGACCCATACTCCCAAGAATTCTAGGGACGCCTGTATAATGAGGGTTACGGTTGTTCTCACTAGATGACACTACTGTGCACGTCGTGTTTTGTTCAATTCAATAGAAAATTAATTACCTATCTAACAAGTGTTCTAACATCTGACATGACTAAGGGCCGAAACGCATAACCGCGTTGCGTCGTCGCAACGCTAAAATCGGCAGTTTGCGTTGCGGCGTCGTGAAAAAATCGTTTTATTGCCGTTCGGTAGGGTAACCAGTTCGTCGTGATTTTTTATTGTGGATAGACGTGTCTCTGCCATGGACCATCGTGAAAAACTTATTGCTTATTTGTTATTAAGAAGACATTACTATGCTATGCTGGAACGAGCGCTGCGTTGCGGCGCCGCGCCGCTTAAATCGGCAGTGACGCTACGGTCGATTCTAGCGGCGCGGCGCCGCAACGCCATTATGAGTTTTGGCCCAAAGCAATTGTTACACCAGTGGATGCTAAATTTTTGACAGCTAGCAGTCGTTGGACAAAAGTGCCCTTTATAAGTTAGATTAGCGCCATCTGGTGCGAAAGAAATTATGGTTTTATTAGAGAAATATTTTTTACACTTAGTATACAGAAAAGTGTTTGTCAGATTTAGGAGATGGTGTTAGTATATTATTTATTGATTTATTTATTAACCGACTTCAAAAAAGAGGTGCTTGAAGTCGGATTTTTTAAACATAGTTATTTATAAAAATGATTGTTGAATACCTATGTTACACGTTGCAGGTGCAGCAGCAAGTAGCAGCGCAGCAGTTGCAGCAGCAGGCCGTGTTGCAGGTGGGAGGCGTCCCGCAGCTGGCGCTACCGCTGCACGCGCAGCACGTGGCGCCCGGCCTCGTGTCCGGGGTGCACGGACAGGTACACACGGACTGACTCCTCTCAGCTGGCGCTGCACGCGCAGCACGTGGCGCCCGGCCTCGTGTCCGGGGTGCACGGACAGGTACACACGGACTGACTCCTCTCAGCTGGCGCTGCACGCGCAGCACGTGGCGCCCGGCCTCGTGTCCGGGGTGCACGGACAGGTACACACGGACTGACTCCTCTCAGCTGGCGCTGCACGCGCAGCACGTGGCGCCCGGCCTCGTGTCCGGGGTGCACGGACAGGTACACACGGACTGACTCCTCTCAGCTGGCGCTGCACGCGCAGCACGTGGCGCCCGGCCTCGTGTCCGGGGTGCACGGACAGGTACACACGGACTGACTCCTCTCAGCTGGCGCTGCACGCGCAGCACGTGGCGCCCGGCCTCGTGTCCGGGGTGCACGGACAGGTACACACGGACTGACTCCTCTCAGCTGGCGCTGCACGCGCAGCACGTGGCGCCCGGCCTCGTGTCCGGGGTGCACGGACAGGTACACACGGACTGACTCCTCTCAGCTGGCGCTGCACGCGCAGCACGTGGCGCCCGGCCTCGTGTCCGGGGTGCACGGACAGGTACACACGGACTGACTCCTCTCAGCTGGCGCTGCACGCGCAGCACGTGGCGCCCGGCCTCGTGTCCGGGGTGCACGGACAGGTACACACGGACTGACTCCTCTCAGCTGGCGCTGCACGCGCAGCACGTGGCGCCCGGCCTCGTGTCCGGGGTGCACGGACAGGTACACACGGACTGACTCCTCTCAGCTGGCGCTGCACGCGCAGCACGTGGCGCCCGGCCTCGTGTCCGGGGTGCACGGACAGGTACACACGGACTGACTCCTCTCAGCTGGCGCTGCACGCGCAGCACGTGGCGCCCGGCCTCGTGTCCGGGGTGCACGGACAGGTACACACGGACTGACTCCTCTCAGCTGGCGCTGCACGCGCAGCACGTGGCGCCCGGCCTCGTGTCCGGGGTGCACGGACAGGTACACACGGACTGACTCCTCTCAGCTGGCGCTGCACGCGCAGCACGTGGCGCCCGGCCTCGTGTCCGGGGTGCACGGACAGGTACACACGGACTGACTCCTCTCAGCTGGCGCTGCACGCGCAGCACGTGGCGCCCGGCCTCGTGTCCGGGGTGCACGGACAGGTACACACGGACTGACTCCTCTCAGCTGGCGCTGCACGCGCAGCACGTGGCGCCCGGCCTCGTGTCCGGGGTGCACGGACAGGTACACACGGACTGACTCCTCTCAGCTGGCGCTGCACGCGCAGCACGTGGCGCCCGGCCTCGTGTCCGGGGTGCACGGACAGGTACACACGGACTGACTCCTCTCAGCTGGCGCTGCACGCGCAGCACGTGGCGCCCGGCCTCGTGTCCGGGGTGCACGGACAGGTACACACGGACTGACTCCTCTCAGCTGGCGCTGCACGCGCAGCACGTGGCGCCCGGCCTCGTGTCCGGGGTGCACGGACAGGTACACACGGACTGACTCCTCTCAGCTGGCGCTGCACGCGCAGCACGTGGCGCCCGGCCTCGTGTCCGGGGTGCACGGACAGGTACACACGGACTGACTCCTCTCAGCTGGCGCTGCACGCGCAGCACGTGGCGCCCGGCCTCGTGTCCGGGGTGCACGGACAGGTACACACGGACTGACTCCTCTCAGCTGGCGCTGCACGCGCAGCACGTGGCGCCCGGCCTCGTGTCCGGGGTGCACGGACAGGTACACACGGACTGACTCGTCGGGCACGGCTTTGGATGGAGGCAATAGGAATGACGGCAGTAGTTAAAAAAATAATGTCCATTTGGTACTTATTTTCTTACGGAGACAAATTTGTGTATCGATATACAATTTAAAATATGAGTGACGTCCTTTAATTCTTAAAAATGTCGTCACTAGGTCCTAAATTAAGCTTTAATTCGTCGTCATCAACTTGGCCGATTACCTCTTTCCAAAGGTCAATATGCAATATTTGTCAGACGGTACTGTACTCATATATCTATATTTATTCCAGTGTCCTTATACAGAGCGAATAAGGGAAAATGTAATCGAGTTGCTATGTACTAAAGAGACGTTGTTTTGTAGCATAAAATCTAAATACTCGATGTTTGTTCGCTCAATTTCTTATACGAATGTGACTAACAAAAACCTACTTAAAAGCGATGTACAAACCTATCATTTAAAAATACTCCTTATTAAACCAACCATAAAGCTGTTTATCAATGTTATAATGCCGAAACTCCATTATGATTCATTCAAAATATAGGTATGTACCTTATTCAAAGCTAAAAAAACTGTTTATCAAAGTCACGGTCAATAACCTCTTACGACTCATTTAAAGTAAACACCTTATAATTTCATAATAAGATTGTTTATCAATATTACAATGTCAACTTCTCTTATGACTCATTTAAAAATACACCTTATTGATTCCACGTTAAGACTGTATATGAAAAATGTCCATTTGCTGCAGAGCCAGCACCCGTACCCGGTGATATCATCAGTGCAGTCTCTACAGCTGCAACAAAGTCAACAGGTTAACGCGGTATATATTCAACGTGTTTTAATACAACGGGAATACGCGACCATCGAATAAACTATCAAGGAGGGTTGATGCTTTAATTAAAAAGCTGAAAGAAATTGGGAAGGCTAAAATTTGTCTGCCACCTAGTACATTATAATTAGTTTAGGTTGAATTAAATGATTTATAATTCATGGAGGACTTACTTACAGCTTATAAAAATGGATAAAAATAACAATAGGCGTAGGTAACATGCAATAGCGTCACCCAAAGGTCTGGCTGGAAGAGAATGCCCTAGGCATTAAGCCCACCTAGTACATTAGTATGTGCATGAAGTCTTTTAAAATAAAATAAAAATAAATAACAATGAGACAATTACAAATCCTCATGTATTTTGAATTAATATGGTGTAAGTACTGTACAATATTAATAAAAATACGTACATTCTGCGAATATGAAAAAGTTAAATATTGAAACAGACCGTGCAGACAATATGATTATAAACAGATCAAGAGAAACAATAAAAAAAAACTAAATATCTATTGCTGCTTAAAAATTTGGGGCTTAAGCACCTCTTTGCCGAGTTCACACTAGTTGTAGACGGATCGAGAAATTAGGTAGGTATGTAATATATTTTAGTTAGAATCAAGTTCATTTACATTGAGATACAAATCTAAGAAAATATAGGCAACTTTATAAAACCAATATAATACGAGTATTGTATAAGGTGTAATAGAATATACGCTATACCTTGTTGGTATTCAAGCCATGCAACTGAACAACTTCTGTTGTAGCACTTTTGGGGGAATTTATAAAAGATCTGAATTTTCCATACAAATTGACGCGACTCACGAGTTGATGATTTTTTTATAGAAAGCACCAACCTCCTTGATCGTTTATTGTTGCGGTGATCGCGTATTCACGTTCTATTATGACACCGCCTATGTGTTGTCCTTGTACCATGGATCCCTAAATCGCATGCTTAGAATGTACGTGTACCAAACAAAATGTAACTTAATGTGTTAGGACAAGGTTGAAATTTCAACGAGGATGTATAAGATCAAAGGTTCTCATTGAAATTTTAACTCTATTGATACTATTTAAGTTGCATTTTTATTCGTTTATAAATATGACTTACTATGCCGTGTCAATGCGTAGTCCTACAATGTGTTATGTATTTTGAGCAGGCTCGTGTATCGTGGTCTGTGTGAATATGTGTATTACATATTGCTTAGCGCTTTTAAGCTTGGAATAAAGTTAATTTGCAAACATTTCGTTGAATATAATGAATAAGAATAATAGTTAGATGCGTTAGCCAATCCATAGATTATTTATTATATAGTGGCCCAACTAACTAAGCCGTCCTAAAGCGTCGTGGGTGAGTTTCTAAAATACAAATTTTCATATCGACCGGGAACAAGAACAATTATAATCATACTTAAAGGTCTGTTGATCGTATGTTATTTGTATATAAAGTATTAAGCATGTTCTTATGTTATTTTAGGCAGAAGTTAGTCATACAATATCTATTTATCTTTAACATAATATATGTATGCTGTTTTGAGTGTGTTGCAGAGTAAATAACTGTGTAAATTGCTTGTTACAGCAACAGCCGCAGCAACTTCAAGTACAAACGATACAGATCCACCCGCAACATCAGCCCATACAGATACATGTAAGTTTACAATCCTTACTATAATATTATGTCGCGGAGAACCTAACGGGTAACCGGGGCACCGACTCGACGTGCAGGAGAAGGCACGGGGTGGTTTTTAGTCAGTAAGAGTCTGACACTCCCTCCCGCCTCACCCAGGTGGGAGCAGTCATTCGATGATTTTCCACCCTTAAAAAAACTATATAATATTATAAATCGGAAAGTAAGTTTGTTTGTTCCGCTTTCACGCCGTAACTACTAAACCGATAGCTTTGAAATTTTGCAGACGTAAAGTTAGAAGTCCGGATTAAAGTACTTTTTATCTCGGAAAAAATAGATATTCCCGAGGGAGGATAAAGTTATAACCAATATTCTTGTTTTCCCTATACCTACGTAGCCTCCAAGCATTTTATTTATCCTCAATTTAACTCGTCGAGTACCGGTTTTGTAGACACAATTATAGAACAATAGGTTGCGGTCACCGGTGACCGCTTGGTGTTTGACAGTTTAATCATTTAGTTTTTAGGATCCTTGTAATGTTAAGTTCTTTTTTTTTTACTCATTTATTTACAAGGTGACCCGGCAAAGTTCATGCCGCCTTAAAATTAATTTCTCTCACCTTCCAAACCGTCTCTAGACTTCCACGAACATTTCAAGACCAAAATTGGTCAAACCAGTTCAGCCGTTCTCGAGTTTTAGCGAGACTAACGAACGGAAATACATTTTTATTTATATAGTAGCGGACCCAACAAACGTTGTCCTGTATATCCACTTGAATGTATAAACAAAAATTCATTCAAATTAGTTCAGCTGCTATGATAAATAACCTAAACATCGACTGCAGCGCCATCTGCCGGACTGATTTGTGAATCTAAACCATTCCCAGATCCCCTTGAACACACACAAAAAATTTCATCAAAATCGATCCAGTCGTAAAGATATTTTTGATGGCTCGGCGTTTAATACATTTTTAATTTTCTTTCTTTTAGTTTTAAGACAGATATTCCCTGGATATTTGTTATAAATCCTTTTATTTTCTTAAGAAATTAACCCGATTGAAAGTCAAAAGTAATTGAGGCTGGTATGAAGTTAATATTAAATACCTAGCGTGGTAAAAACAAATAGAGTGGTGATTAATGCTCAAAGCTTCTCCGTGTGCGAAGAAGCCTTGCTCAACAGTGAGCATTTATAGGCTGTTGATGGATGACGTTAATATGCATTATGGAAGGTTTGTGCGAAGTGATGCAATAATATTACGTGGTACTCACAGGCTGTAGGCGTGCAGCAAGTCCAGCAACAACAGTTACACGTCGCCACCTCCTCCTGCCAGACCATGCTGCCCAACATACTGCAGGTTTGTGAATACCTAACAAATAAATTATACTAACAGTTTGCTAAAGCACATAGACTGATACTATTGTAGACGTTCTTCCACTTTTCGGCAACTAAAGTGAACTGTGTAAGTAGGCAATAATAGAAGTGAGTCCCCATTGACTTAAAACGTAAGAAAGGACATAAGAAAACTTATTACACCACATACCTTTACTTCTCTTGCATATTAAATACGTTAAACGCCATTGGGGGCACCGAAGACCGACATTAGTGGAGAACTTTTAACAGTTTTCCATCTCAGTCATATAAGTACAGTAACATATTACTCGTACCTATCTAATACTATTTATAATTTATATTTTAATACTTAATTTTTATATAAAACAGAAGAGATTGTTTGTTTGTTTGAGCGCGCTAATCTCAGGTACTACTGGTCGGATTTGAATAATTCTTCTTGTGTTGGATAGACCATTTATCGAAGAAGGCTATAGGCTATATAACATTACGCTACGATCAATAGGTGCCGAGCAGAGTGTGTGTAGTGGATCAATAGGTGCCGAGCAGAGTGTGTGTAGTGAAGTAGTTATTAATTAAACTAATGTTACAGTTACAGCCCGCGACGGTGGCAGTGTCAGGTCTGTCGCAGCAGGAGCTGGGCGGCGTCACGCACCGCATCATCCTGCAGCCGCAGCCCACCGCCGCGCACCCCGCCGTCTACACCATACACCACTGACGGGGCGCCCGGGACGGGGCTACACTACACCACTGAATACACACTAAACACACAAGGAATAGACCCCATTAACGCCTACTATCAGGAGATACTGAGATAGTGGCCGAATGCTGACCTATTTTACAATAAAAAGAAAGAAATAAAGGCACGGAGTAGGTATGAATCCTGACACGAACGATGCATGGCCGGGTTTTGAAATGATGTCTTTCATTTTAAACATCATTATCTGGCCATTCGTCTTGCTGGGAAATGGCCGAAATTATAATTAATGATTTTAATCAACAATTTTTGTGTTAAGACTCGTATAGATTCAGAGATGAATAGATATTATTAATTTCGGCCATTAGTCAGTACCGTAATAGGAATCGAACTCCAAAGTGCCCATTGAAATTAATTAAATGGCGTATTTTATTCATCTCACAAACTGTTCAAAGATGTCCTATACATATATTGTACACTTGTTTATATAGTTTCAATTTCTGTTTATTTAATACATTTTAACAGCCACTTTCAGGCAAAGTAGTCCTTCCTGACCTATAGTCCTTGCTATAACAATATAATAAAATTAATAAATAAGCATAATCTTTTATAAATATGAGAGTAAAAATGGAGTGGTTTGTGTCAAATCTTAAACATTCATATCTGTATATATATAATTCTTCTGTGAGTGTGTATGTCACCGAACTTCTCTCAAACGACTGTACCGATTCTGTTGAAATTTTTGTGTGTGTTCAAGGCGATCTGGGAATGGTTTAGATTCACAAATCAGCCTATTATTACAGGACAACGTCTGTCGGGTCCGCTAGTATATATATAAAAATGAAACCCGTTTCCCGTTGTCACGCCATAACTTGAGAACGGCTAGACCGAATTGGCTGATTTTTTGTTGTGTTTATTATTGTCAGAAGGTTCTTAAGACAGAAAAATGTCCTGAAAATCCTACGGGAACCGGAGAAAACGGGATTGCGCGTACGAAGTCGTGGGCAGAAGCTAGTTTATTATAAGAATTGTTATCAAAGTAGCAGTTTTAATGTTAAATTCGTTTTACTACACATAATTATAAAGCTTTAAAACAAATCAAGATAATCTATAAAGAATCTATGTGTTATAAAAATAATTTAACCTTTTCGCCGCCAACAACTTCTATAGAAGTTCAGGATTTTCGTGCCGTCCACGCCACTACTTCTATAGAAGTTCATTGTATCTACCTACTATAAAAAATACATTTACGATACATAAAACATTTGTTTCTTTGTAATTTTGTAATATGGACACGAAGTACTATTTTTTCTCATGCAAAACAGACTATTTTCTGTTTTAAAAAGGTAAAACATAAAAGGTTTCAAATAATTTTATATCCCGCACGCCAACGACTTCATATCAAGTAGGCCAGTGATGTGACGCGTAAGGAGCATTCATTAGAATCTTTATTTACTATAATATTTGTTTTCTTTTCCATCCAATAGTTTTTTGAATTCTATGAATAAAAAGAAATTCCGGTCAGTAAATAACGTATTACAATGCGTTTCAAAATTAATGTACATCTACCTATCAAATCATTTCATTAAAATTAATTATTATGTACTGAGGGTTTTCGATATTGCTAGACCCATCTCTACGTAATGGCAAGATGTCGAGTGACACTAGCGCCGTCAACTTCAATAGAAGTAAACCTGTGACGTCGTAAGCGCTTAGGCGTCAAGGTCATTGTGTCATAGTTCCGGGCGACGCGTGCACGCACATTTTTCTTTCCCAGTGCTGTGCAAAATGACCGAATATGATTCGGATGAGTTGTTGCGGCTGTTACAAGGTGTGTGCCTATAGAGCGCGCCAAAGATAAAGTCGCGGCGTTGCCGTGAGCAGTGATCGAGAATGGTATAGGTCGCGCGACGTGTCACGAGCGACGAGCCCTCGCTGATGAACTAAATTGTAGAGGGGGTATGCGCAATAGCGATTCTTAGTATAAAATCGCTACTGCGCATCCCCCTCTACTTTCGTCCAGCGCTCATAATTAATCGCACGGCCTATACCTATAATTATTTTCATGATTATGAAATATCCAAATGATTGAGTCATTTTGATTCGATTACAAACTGTTTGGGTCGCGAAAAATTTGTGATCGACTCAGGTCTATATTTGTTCGCCGACACAGCTAAAAGTTTGCGAAACCGAGAGCCGAAACGAATAGGTATTTTATGACTACCTAATATCCATCAAACGTGCCAGTTTTTCATTTGCATTAAATGAAAAATAAGCTATTAAAGTTTAGTACATCTGTATTAAAATAGTTACTTACCATCCATTTCCAAAACTACACATATGTTGCCACTTTTAATCACTACAAACAATATTCCTGATCGTGACCTGACGTTAGATTTTAAATGTAAACTAAAACCAAAAGCAAACCAAACTCGATAGAAAGAAAGAAAAGCATAGACAACTATTCCTTACGAAATGTATCGTGCTTTGAACGCCAATGACTTGATATGAAGTAAACAGACTACTTTATGAAATGAATAGTGAAGTGGCTAATGTTACGAATTATTATTATTATCTCTAGCAACTCTATGCATGTATCTTCATCTCTGATAACGGATACCCATTTTTCTTAGTATAAATGTTCATAAAATAAAACAAATTACCATTATAACTTAACAGTTTGTATTTTTAATTGTAAATTTGAGTACCAATTTAAATTTACACATATTTTTTTTTCATTATCGACATGATGTTACCGCCATCCCTACTTTCGTACTATACATTTATTATACATTTATACGTTGGCGTACGGCGACACATCGTGTTTAGTATAGCTGGGCGGCGAAAAGGTTAAAATATAAATATATAATATTGTTTATCATGAAGTGATAATGACGGGGTATGAACATTAAAAATCTATTTAGTCTGTCAGTATGAAATAATATTAGTCACCTATTTCTTATTTTGTGTACAAGTAAATAATACTTAAAACGAATCAAAGTTTAGAAGTCGCTAGCTACGTCATTTCTATGTGTAAAACGTACATAGAAGTGACGTCACGCGATATTTCAAATCAATTAATCGTCGAAAGTATTTGTTTTTGTAAGTAAATAAAAAATACGTGTCTAATGGTTTAAAATAACCTACCAGACGGACATGATTATAAAAATTAGTCATCTATTCTATTGTTGGTAGACCCAATCACTCCATTGTTTACTAATCCATGTTAATAGTTAATAAATGTTATAATAAGTAGTAATTAATAGAGAAAGTCTTATTGCACTGGTGCCTGAATATATTAGACCGCAGTTTTTAAATCTGTATGTTTGAATTTATGTGTACAAGTAGTCGTTAGGTTCAGCAATACTAGAATAAGTGTACTTTGTGATTATACATAGCAATTTAGCTATTATTTAAATGTATATAAGATATATTTCATTGTGAACAGATAGCAATAATGTAAATAGAATTGTTTTGTAATAAAGTGTTGATTTCACTGTATTTTCTTATTGTTACTTTCCGTGTGGGTAAAATAAAACGTCATTATAAAAACTTATTATTAAAATTTAATTACTTCAATAATTAAGATAATACCTAAATCAATGCAATTCATTCATTATTCATAATAATATATCGGCATGTTAATAGCTCAGCAAAATAAACACTGATTTCTCATATGGATGGCCATAAACTATGAAGCTTGGATAAGGATTATAGTTCTTCCCTTACTCTTAGATAACATCTTCATAAGTGGTGACTAGGCTAGTAGTGATGAAAAAATAAAATATATTCTGGTCATAATTACATTACAAAAATATACTATTTTATTAAAGTAGCACCAGGATAACAACATTTAATGAACACTATTTTAATTAACTTTAAAGAACAAGAGGAACCCTTTATTATTTATTTTGTTGAGCTATTACAAACCAAAATAATGTCCTTGAAAACAACACAGTGATCAAAAATCCCAATTGTTAAAGTTATTGAATGTTGTGGCACAATATTTCAGATCGCGATATTTACAGTCAGTTTCATATGTTAAAGGTTGTAGATTCGACCACTGTGTTAGAAAACTAAAAACTCGCAAGACCGGCACGAGGCTACCATTCAATACAATATTTATAACAACACTGGAATTCAACCTCTAAGTTAAAAAAGACAAATTAGGAAAATTCTATTTGAGAAGAGAAGAAATAGTACACCACATATATTAAGTAAACACAACACTAATTTTGGAAATTAGTGTGTTTGATCATCATACAGGGTGCCTTGGTATTTAACTTTCGCTTCGAGAGCCAAGTCTTGGTGTATTTGAGACACCAATCAGGCCCAAATTCCTAGCTAACGTACCACGCTCTCTAGAACCTAGCGACAATACCATGCATATAAAAATACGTAAAACTACAAAAATAACCCTAGCCGACGACGCTTACAAAATAATTCCGCTAAACATTTTATTTACACTACGATTACGATACACAATTTGAAGGCCACATGTTTCATGGAGTAATTTTATCGAATCATATTAATTATTGCTTTAATCACAGGCACAATTTGATTAATCAAAATATTTTGGTTGGATACATATTACGAAAGTTCAGTCTCGATATAAATTAAAATATTAGGAGATTCTGGCACTATTAAGATTTGGAGGAAGAAATAATTCGAGAGAGGAGACTGGAGAAAATAATTAGGATGAGTAACAAGATGCCAGTGTCCTGACATTGTGTTACGTCTCTAGATGCACTAGAAATATGATAAACTTGTTATCATTTGATTTCAGAGTAACACAGTAAAATATCGAACTAATCTTTCTGAAGGAAATTATGACTACGGTTTCTATAAAATGCCCATGTTTATAAATACCAAGAACATAGATAAGTAATAAATATTGACCGAAAATGTACGAGATAAATAAATGCGCTGTGTTCTAGGACAGGCCTTCAGCAATCGTAGACTGCAAACATGGTCCAAACTATCGCTTTTGACTGAGCGATGCACAATACCGAATATATTAACTTTTTCATGGAGGAGAGAGTAGTCAAATATGACTAGTGTTGTCAATTTGCTTAGCCATAGCCATTATTAAAAATCGTGTAGTTAAATATGACTCTTGGGTTGTTGCGCATCGCTAATCTTTGTACAACCTGACTGCGTAGCGCATGTGAAGCGCAAGTGATGTCCATATTGATGTATTATGTACTATACGCTTTGGACGGTGCAGTCGTCTTCCTGCGAATCTGGCTGGTAGCGGATGTATGCGGAGTGGTGCTTGAGTCCGGGCGGGAGGTTCACGTCGCGGAAGTATCGGTGCCTGCGCGCATCCTTCGCTGAGATACGCTTCACCGGGTCATAGACTAACATCTTTTGCAGTAGATCCATGCCAACTTCGTCTAGGTTTTGCACCTGAAAAGACAAGAAAATTATTTAAATTAAAATCAAGCTTATTGTAGGAGTCACTGAAATAAACTCTTCATTGGCAAAGCAGGTTACATAAATCCATTTAGAATAACCACAGATCACAAATAAATCTTATTTCGAGATATTTGGGTATTTGGTATAAAAATAAGTGTAAAATATGTGACTTACGTGATTATGAAGGTTGAATGAAGTCCAGTTGGGGAAGGTGGGCTTGTAGTCTGGCAGTGAAGACACACCTGGCCAGATGTCCTCAGTGGGAGTACGGAGCATTCTGTCGAGAATAGAGTATTGCATTTATAAATGGGGAATTTTTTGCTGCACCTCTATTTAGAAATTTATGCAAACCAAATTTCTCCACTAATAACCTACTGCATATCAAAAAAATGAACTGTAAAACAAAAATACTGATTTGCACACTAATTGTTCAATATTGGGTTAGGTTAGGTTTGTTTTTTTTTTCACGACCTTTAGATTATGGGTTAGGTTGGGTTAAGAATAAACCATGTTCTTAAAAGTTTAATAGGTGATAGATTCTAAAAAAAAATTTATATATACCTACATATTTTGTTGCACTCGAAGAATTATTAGATTTACTTTTAGTTAAAAGGTAGTCATTCAGTAAAAGAGTTAAGCTTTAATGATCTAACAGTATAATAATTATAATTGATTTATTTGATGAGCAAATTTAGTGTGCAATTCAGTATTTTTGGTGGTGATTTCGAATATTTTGATTGAAAAAATAGGGATTTTACAGTTAAATTATTAAATACCACCCTTAAACTGTCAAACACCAAGCGGTCACCGGTGACCGCAACCTATTGTTCTATAATTGTGTCTACAAAACCGGTACTCGACGAGTTAATAAATTGCAGAACTATCAACATAACATGATACATCAAAACAATTTTAAATTAATTATATTTAGTTGATCAATAGTTTCAACAGATTCAGGCTCAGCCAAGTTTAGATGTTAGTAATCATAAACAGTGTGTCAAATGTTTTTGTTACAATAAACACTTTTTCCTATTTATTATTATTATATTTTGATTTCTTTTTGTCATTGTCATAATGGTCTTATTTATATAACGGATATACTATACCTGAATATGCGGAAAAGTTGATCAATCTCAGAGTCTCCTTGGAAGAGAGGTTTCTTTGAGGACATCTCTGAGAATATGCATCCCACTGACCACATGTCTATGGGGCAGGAATATCTGAAAATGAATAGAAATAATTGTTACTTATATTAGTTATTCTAAGGTCACCAATTAGACTGACTCTGTTACACAAGAACTTTAATATAACTGAAAAGTAAGCATTTTGTAGGGCATGTTAAACACTGCTGAACAAGTTTTGTTAGCTTAAAATTATGCACCAGTTGAGTGAGTATGACTATACAAAACTTCTCAGTAGTAGCATGGAGTCTGGAACTGTGCCCGGTATATGGCAATAGGCTCACCCCCTATTAAATGGGACTCATAACATAAATCATGAAAAATGAGTGGTACATTGTACATAAGTGCCTTAATGTGCACATCTGCCTGCACCTTCGGTGATAAAAGGCGTAATGTTATGTTATGTTGCTTACATAAATAAATATGAAACAGACCTGTAGTCTGTTATAAAATTAGGACCAATAGGTATTGGAGTCAAATATACATACCACAATAAACAGAATTTTAGTTATACCCATTTCAGTAAGTGTTATACCTCTGACTGCCAAGTAGGACTTCAGGAGCTCTGTACCAGAGAGTGACCACCTCATGGGTGTACACACGCACTGGCACTCCAAAGGCTCGCCCCAGACCAAAGTCAGCCACCTGAAATAATTACCAATTGTTTTTAACATGTTGAATGCCACGAGGAAGAACCTACTTCAAATACATTTTAATATTTGTTTATTTACCAGTTACCAGTATTTATTTACTACATTATTACCTGTAAATAGACTATGTGTAGTCTTTTTTTTTAAGGGGGGAAAATTATCGAATTACTGCTCTCACCTGGGTGAGGCGGGAGGGAGTGTCAGACTCTTACTGACTAAAAACCACCCCGTTCCTTCTCCTGTACGTCGAGCCTAGTCGAACAATAGGTTGCGGTCACCGGTGACCGCTCGGTGTTTGACAGTTTAAGACTTGTGTTGACTCAGTTAAAATATGGTATTTTGCGTTTGAAATGTTAACTAGGAGAATATGGTCCTATTACTATAATCCTTTGTACTCCTATGAAGGACATGTGAGCATGAGCATGTTGTGTTTTTTTAATAATCAAATTCAATAAATGTGAATACAAATTTAGTAGACTTATGACAAATGTATTCTATTCTCATTTGCTGAATACAATACATTTAGCATAACACAATAACAACACTCCCCCGAACATTCTCATATATCCATTTACAAATTAATAACACTTAGACATCACAACCAGATCTGGTAAGTTTTTACCTTAATGATTCCAGTCTTGTCAATAAGTAAGTTCTGTGGTTTGAGATCTCGGTGAAGGATCCTCCTCTGGTGGCAGTAGAGGATGGCATTGTTAATCTGGTACAAGTAGCTCTTCACTACTGTCGGGTCCATGAACTGGAAACAGGAGCAAATTATTATTGGAACTACAGTGCCACACACATAACATAAATTCACACCTTTCATCCCGGAAGGGTAGGGAGAGGTGTAACAATGTAACGTAACACCTACTAGGGGATGCGCCTATTGCCATAAACCAGGCATGATTCCAGACTTCATGCTAATACTGGGAATTTAAAAAAAAACCTAGTAATACTTACTACTTGCGACTACTAGGCCAACGAGGCAGTGTTACACATCATCAAAATTAATGACAAACCAAGTTTCTAGTTTTATTGTAGTACAAAAACAACAATAAGGGCTGGGCATAATTAATTAGGTTAATCTCAAAAACCAATAGTTGATTGGTGAGTTACTCTAGGAGTAAAGTTTTAAGTTTTATAATATATGCTTTATACTTATGGACACTAGGATTAACTATAGTTATGTTCTACAAGTTCAACTGATCAATATCTATTTATACAAAGATGACCAAACTCAAGTTTGACACATTCCAATCAGAAACGATGAATAGAAACATCCATAATAGTGCTTACTTTCCCCGATCCAAGAGAATCCATGTATTTCTTCAAGTCCATGGAGAGGAACTCGAAGATGAGGTACAGGCGGCTTTCTTCCATCAGTACATCTTCCAATTTCACTATGTTTGGGTGGTTCAGCTCTTTAAGAAGCGAAATCTCCCTAAAATTATAAAAAAACGCTATAGGTTATGTTGTCAATAGCAACATGCTAGTTTCTGCCAAGAAAAGCCTAAAATATCAACAAATGGTGCGCAGGTGTGTAATCTTATGCCAAATGTTCTACCTGATGGCTGTTGAAGGAATGCCTTCGTCTTCAGACTCCAAGCGGATTTTCTTCATGGCCACAAACTGCCCAGTTATTTTATTTTTCCCTTTGTACACCACACCATAAGTACCTTCACCAATCTTCTCAATTTTTAGAAAATCATCCATTTTGTAACAGGGAATTTTGTAACTTCCTAGCAAAACTTGTGGCCAACTACCACAATTAACATCAACTAAAGTGATGTTTTTTCGATGTTATTGACACATCGATAAAAGCAGATTGCAAACAGATTAGTTATTTGGTAATCCAGCGTAATAAATAGTATTTTTTTTCAAATGTTAAATTGTTTACTGGGAAAATTGCTAAAATATCGTTAACGTTTCACAACGACTTTCAAACGTAATTTTTTAAAACTTGAATTGTTTATGCCCTTGTCAATCTATGTAGTTGTTTATTTGTCTATGAATCGCGATCCAGTAGGACTTATCAGATTTTTAGCATCAGTTACATAGTTGTGTATCGGTTCTAAAATTATTAAGACTAAAGATGTCAGTTTTGTAGGAGAAGCGCCTGGAACGCACTAATTTGATCATAGACAATAGCAACACCATAGACTACGAATTTTAGAAAGAGTATAATTTACGTAGATAGATAATCTAAGCAGTTCTATAATTATTTTTATTCTAATCTTATTAATAAAAATAGGTACCTACTTAAAACTTTATGCTACGGTATTTTTTTTAAAGGGGGAAAATCATCGAATGCCTGCTCCCGCCTGGGTGAGGCGGGAGGGAGTGTCAGACTCTTACTGACTAAAAACCACCCCGTTCCTTCTCCTGCACGTCGAGCCGGAGCCCCGGTTAGGATCTCCGCGACATGGTACGGTATAACAATAAGAGGTAGGAGAGCAAAGAGTATATAATTATAGGAGAATAGGAGAGAGAACACAGACATACAATTTATGAGAGTAAATGCCCAACATGCACCTAAAAATACGATGTGAATAATTACTTATGATGTCACAAGCACGGTGCACGTTTGACGCAGTGGCTGGCCAACCGGCTGCCGATGTGTCATGGGTTTGATTCTTAAATGGAACAACTCGTGTGTAGTTCATAAATTATTTTTCACGGTCTGAATGTAAAGTGTAGGTATGGAAATAGGTAGGTGTTTTAGTAGTAAACGCATCCACGCCACGACATGGAAGTAAAATCCTAGTGTGGGGTAAAAAAGTACTAGGTACGACATTAAATACGCAATAAATTTGCAAGCTAAATTACACAGAAAATTCCAAAATACAAATGTGACTGTAGCTCGCTACAGGCGCTACAGCCCACCAGACATGATCACTTGGGAACGTAACGTAAATTTGGAAACATCAATCACACCCTGTGCCGTAAAAGCTACTTAGTAGTACTTGTAGTTACATTTAAGTACGTATACCTATAACTAGTTGTCTAGTAAGACAAGCCTAATTAGATACCTACTATAGTTTTGAAATACCTACATTAGTCAAACGGAAATTAAGCAGAAAGTTTTCTTACATAAGCGTATTGCAATAAAGGGTTCGCCTCCTTTTTGACAAACTGCTACGCTTTAATTACGACACCTCACATCACTAAGGAGACCTGTGTCCTGTTATACCCAAGGAATATCACACCCTTGACCCCGTCAGGGGGATGTGCTGACACTTCACTCCTCGTCTCAAATGCATACACCCCCGACCTCCCGTGCTATACAAAAACAGACAGTCATATTCTATCCACAATCCCGTGCGTAAGTCACATTCGAAATTAGGTATATGTACTTTTAATTTATAAACTTTAAATAAAAGTAATTTTGTTCTTCGAACTATAGTGTTTCCTTTAAGAAGAGAACTGAACATACCAAAATCTAACAGCTCCATTGAGCCTCGCTGTGCTCGATGGCTACTAGCCAGTGTCCTTGTGCCACGCCACCGTCTTCCTTGAGGTCACTGGGTAAGCGCCTAGAGCCTACACTTTAGAGTCACTAGTCATCGCTTACTTCCTACATTTAACATGATACCTAAACCAATTAACCGCCCACAATTTCCCGCTAATATCTATCACGTTCACGTAAAAATTAAATAGGTACCCACAGCATCCACAGCAGAATCCTGTCGTATCTTAGATAGATACTTATCTCATATAAAGATTAAGCATGAAATAGATCACACAATAATGTGAATGTTCCACAGAACTAGATAATAATACGATAATGATTAGAATTTATGCTGAGAAGTGCATATTGGTCACGTTTCATGATGGCGGCCGCGAGGCGCGCGCGCGATCTCGATACGACCTTTATCTACAAGATCGACCGATAATTAGGAGCATATTAATTGGAAGGTAGAGGGTTTAGGTCTCATTCCGAAGGTATGTGAGCATCCAAGATGTGGTGGATAGTGTTTTCGTGTCTCCTTATATTCAACGGCCATGTAAGTCAATACTTTTTATATCTGTCACCTGTCTAATTTATTTAACTGTATCGTTAATCATGTGTCGCGGAGAAACTAACGGTCGCGGAGAACCTAACCGGTAACCGGGGCTCCGGCTCGACGTGCAGGAGAAGGAACGGGGTGGTTTTTAGTCAGTAAGAGTCTGACACTCCCTCCCGCCTCGCCCAGGCAGGAGCAGTCATACGATGATTTTCCCCCCTTAAAAAAATCGTTAATCATGTGGTCTTATGAATATTTAATAGTAAGGTATTCTGGAACGCGCCCTTAATGTGCTTGTCGCAACAAGGTCGTTTCTCTGTTCCGTGAGACTAGGTTAATGTTTACAAATGTTGGCCTTAACATTTTTTGAGTCAACACACTTACTAAATTGGTGAAGCAAAGGCGTTGAATTTCGGTCATCACATAACATAATATAACATTACACCTTTTATCCCCGAAGGGGTAGGCAGACGTGCACATTATACCACTGTACAATTATGTAACACCGACTTTTCACTATTTTTCATTATAATTCCCATGTAATAGGGAGTGAGCCTATTGCCATATACCGGACACAATTCCAGACGCCGTGCTACTACTGAGATATTTTTAAAAGCCCAGTGATAGTTTGCCAGACCCAGTAATCGAACCCGAGACCTCTTGCCCGACAGTCGCACTTGCGACCACTCGGCCAACGAGGCAGTCATCATTTCGGTCATCAGTTGTGTTTAATAACTTTTTTGTTTAAGATTATAAATTAATACATACAATTACCTCTTTTATTTTCCATAGACAGAGTTAAATACACTTATTAAGATTAAGTACGATACCGTAAAATGGAGTGGATAGGGATCGAGAGATGAATAGTCTCTATTCACCTAGTCTCTATCCCTATTCACCCCATTTTACCGTATCTAATTATTATTTTTACGGCTTTCTCACGTAACTGTTTGACGAGGAACTCGACTAGTTTCAAGTCATGCTAGAGGCTCATATTTATGAGCAGCATTCCGCGACACACGACGCGGCGACTGTCGCGCTGCTACTACAAGCCGAATAGATAATAATTTATTTATGTTTGTGTCACGAAAGTTTTAATATAAACATATTAAATGAGAGTTTATGTGAAGAGTTATATGCAATAAATAGAATAACTTAAAAATTAATAGAAGATTAGTAATATTTTTTATAGAACGAAAAAAAGACGTGTTGTAATCCGGGATTGCCGGCAGAAGTGAAAACTTAAGTATTAATATATTGAAATGGTAATGGAATAATTTTTCACGAATTGCTTTAATTATCAGAATGAAAGTACGTATGTACTATCTTTTGTGTGGTAGAATATAATATAATATTAATATTTATTGCGCTATCATACACAAACATTACAATTTATATTACATTAAATAGTTTATTCCTCAGAAAAATCAACTTCTATCAATAATTTCGACAACTTTTTCACAATCATTATTAGTCTAAAACTGATACGATCGGTTTATGATAGCTGAAGTAAGAAACAAACAGTTTTGATTCGAAACCTATTTAAATGTCTAATAAAGACGGCATCAATAGCAGTTTTGTATTTCGTTGTGCTAAGATGGCGATCAATAAATTAATTATTTAAAAATTCAATTACACACATAAACACACACGAACATTCACGTAAGCGCCCTGCACCGCCTAAACGAAACAACCGGCGCAGGCATATATTTTCGCCGCGCCGTAGAAAGAGAGGGGGGGGGGGCGATACTTCCTGTCCCACGCCACGCCAGCTGTCTACTCTCCATCCGTCTTACGAATTTTCGATCAGGTCACGTGTCCTGACGCGAGCTACACACTTTTTACCCATTACAAAAAAAAAATGTTGCAAATCATTAATAATGTTGATGCTCCTTTTCAGATATCATCACAACCTTTAGACGCTAAGGAGAATGTTCGCCAAACGCGTCAACTGGACTTCGGTGAGTGCTGTCCTTGTCCAGGCGCTGGACAAGTTGGACAAGGTTTCGAAGCACAGAGTCCTTCTTTCTCCAGTTATGATGGTCCATACAGCCGAGCAAGGGAGGTGGACGACTGTCCGTGCCGGGCTAGAAGCTCTGACTCCGATGGAGCCTCATCAGTCTTCTTTCCAACTGCAGTGCGTCCTGATGGGCATGCCGTGAGGTAAGACATACGTGCAACTACCTACTAATTGATTTAGTTTTTTATACATAGGTATATTTGTGTGGTTGAGTTTACAAACTCATTTTGTGCAAATACTAATAATAATAATACGTTTCGTAGCAGCTGGTTGTTTAGCCACTGCACCAACTGTGCGTTCAGGATATAACTATTATATAAGTTTTAGGTTATTTAAATTTCATGTGTTAAAGAAAAAACTTACAAAAGCTAAAGGAAAGGAACAGTTCTGTACTTATAACTTATTTATTAACAGGTCATCAGAAACGAAAGAAGACCCGAAGCCACTTCTACACCCAGAGGTCGGTCTCGCATCATCAGTTTTAGAAACATTAAGGGAAGCCACTGATGAGGAGTATAAGGAAGCGCTAGCGAGGGATGCCGCAAGGAGTATGGGGAAATCAGCTGACGAGGATTTCTTCGGAGACACTGTCCCAGACGCAAGTACTGGTAACTTAGTAACCATTATAATGAATCCAAAATATGCTGAGGATGACATTATTCCTCAAGAATCACGTCTTCAAGAAACGCGTTGTGTTCATGGACCATTAGGTAGTGCAAAGTCTAGTCCCGTTCAATTACGGACTGCGACGAATCCACCAAACTTATTACATGAGCTGTTTGGGCTACCACAAGTAGATCAGCTAGATGATATGGATAGTGGTGTGGGTGCTAGCAATATTCAAGAACGTGTTGTAAAAATTGACGAAGAGCAAGCGCCTAGTAAAAGTAAAATTGGCCTACGTAAGTACGCGCCTTTGTTGAAACCGAAT